CTGAGCCCTGAGAAGTTCATATTTGAATTGGAAGCATAGCTGGTTTGCTAGGAGCTTGGTGTTTACCCAGTTGAAGGAAGTTGTCGAGTAGGGGTTGGCTTGTCCAAATTTACGAAAAATGCGCAAACAGAATAGAGGCGGAATAGGTGTAGAGTCATAAGAAGAAGATGCAAATAAAGAGGACCGCTCATTCATTCAGTTTTGGAGTAGCTCAGTTCTTTGATTCATCGCTGCACACGTTGTAACATATTTCAATAGTTCGTGTTATCTATATGCCACTACTGAAGTTTTGTGGGCTTAAGTCTCGAGATCGAGCTCCCCGGGCTTGACTTTCAAATCATCTAGCCAGCAAGTGAAAGAGAGATCATTTTTCAGATGGCAACCTACATACAGTCCAGTATACACTTTATCTACTCTTCGTCCGAAGTCGGTTCACCCGGCCAGAAGAACCACGACAAGACGATGAGGAACTTCAAGAAAGCGGCCGTCCACAGAGCGCCAGCAATTCCCAGGGAACTGTGCGCAAACAAGCCGCCGCAAATGGCACCAACAAGAAGCAATACAGGCGCGCCGACTCTTCGGTTTCGCTCAGCATTGTGAACGCTAAAAAGCTCAGCGTCAGAGAAGAGGTCGCAGTAGATACTTGTCAATACAACGCTGGTGAGCGCGTTATACTTCAGCGCGCGGCTGGTGACAGCCTGACCGCAGCTCTGGAAGGCGATGAGGGCGATAGGCACCAGGACGTTCCAGGCGATCTCGTCCTTGCCGGCCGCAGGACCAACGGTCAGGATGACGGCGGCGGCGACGCAGAGGAGGGTCTGGGCGATGAAGGAAGCGCAGAGGACCCAACGCTTCTTGGGGGAGAAGAAGCGATGGAATCGGCTGAAGAAGAACGAGCCTAGACAGAATGAGATGAGCGAGGTGGCGGATTTGATCCAGCGGGTGGATTCGGTGGGCGCGGCGAGGCCGAGGCCGATGTAGACTGTGTTTCCTGTTTTTTGTTCCGTGTCAGTGATGTGTAGCACGATGCTTCGGGCCGTTATTGTGGGTAACGAAGGCTTGGAAGGGATCTTACCTGTTTGCATAGACACAAAAGATCCCCAGATGGAGATGGAAGAGCTGTCGAGCAGGCCGGTGATGATGTAGCATGCCAAGAGAACCAGGTCGGCCCAGTCGCGCTGCACGTCTGTAGTGAGCTTCTTTCGCAGAGACTTGGAAGCTGGTTTCCGGGCGCCGCCTCCGCCGCCAAGCAGGGGCTGCTCTTCATCGGCGTGGGCGTGCGAGTCGCCGTTCACGACCGGAGCCGAGTTGGTGACGGAACCGTAGCTGCCGCTCGTTGAGCTCATCTTTACGGTGTTGTCGGTGCGTCGTTCCGATAGGGCGTCTCAGATCGCGACGTAGAAGGGTGGTTGAGAAGCAGTAGCTTTGGCTTCACTGAGAATGGGATGTTCCTCCAAGAGACTGGAAGCTCTGGCCAAGTGACGTTGGCTGGCGAAGAGTTATGCGGATATAAATAAAACTCTCTCTCAAGTTGGCATGGATGTGCCGAGGATGGGGGAGAAAGACAGCCGGTGGGTGCTGACGCGCAATGTTTGTAGTATCCGTTAGCACTTTGCAAAAACTGAAGAAAAGCCCAAAGGCCAGAAACTCGAGCACTTCGGATCTGCCGTGGTCCACCCGCGAAAAGTTTCCAGGTTTCCAGCCTGGTTTATATGGGCCAAAGGGCGGAAAGCAATGCCGAAAGAAAGCCAAGACCAAGAGCGATCTATCCCCGCTCGTAAATCTCTCGGCGGACGGTTCTCGCGGATTTGAAAGATGCCATTCGACGGACCCGGTATGATCTGTGACTTTCGGGCCTTTAGGGGGCGTGGGATTCGAGCAAAGAGAGTGAGGGGGAAACGCGAGAAGCTGGGACAAGCATGAGCAAGCCCATCAGAAATAGCCTTGAGGGACTCGAGCTAAGCTCAGTCAGAGAAAGGATATGCAGAATGTCACTGCAGTCACGCAGTGAAACCGGGGGCCTGACAACGCCTGGCCGCGGAACCAGCTTTTTCTCCAGGATCTCCGACATATGCCCCGTCCAATCGATGGTTCTGGAGTTGCATTGGGAGCAGAGCTCAAGGCGCAGGAACCTGCGTCATGGCCTGCTGCAGACATCCCGCCAACGTCGCAGCGAACCGAACGATGGAGAAGAGCTTCAGCAGCTCACCTGAAAGGCCAATTGGGTTTCGTTGAGTGAAGAGCTTAAACGCCAGGCCACCTCAGTGCGTCCAGATTCTCATAATAGACTAATCAAGTAGTCTGTTACTACTCCTCTTCCCCTCCCTGGCCCTGGTCTACGGCAAGCGTTCCTCTCTTCCCCTGGTACGCCGGCTATCACTGGGGAGGCAGGTTGACTGGTTCATCCCCGCATGCGCAAGACGTGCTATGCCCATCGCTCTACCGCGTTTCAGCCAGTGAGGGGGAGCTTTTGTTGAACATTCCATGCAAGGTGGCATGCAGCAGCAGCAGCAGCAGTGCCAGCTCTTGAAGCTGCTTGGTTTGGCAAGGTACCCTACTACCTTGCCATTGTTGCTACAGCTGTGGGGGAGCTTGAGTCTCGGGGGTGGTTCGGCATGTGCGTCGACGGATTGGTGGGTGTGTGGCAGACGTGGGATTTTGGTGTGTGGTGTGTGTCACCGTTCGCTTCAACCTGCAGACTGCAGCGATGGGCGGGTGAGGTGATGCGCCGATGACTATGACGGAGGGATGGTTCCCTTTGTAAGCTCTCCGTGTTTACGTACTACGAGTTGGTTGCGACATTGGCGAGGCCGAGGAAGAGGTCAAGGCATTAGTATTGGCATGGCTAAGTCGGATGATGAGCTTTAGAAAGGGGGTATAAAATAGCCTCTGGCTCCCAGTGTCACGAGCTGAACGTCTTGCTTCTTGAAGACTTTTATTCTTGTGTCTTATTCTCAGCCATTGAAGAAAGAGAAAAGTCAATTGTAGACCCAATTGACCCCATTCCCATTCTCTGCTGCGAGCTACCCTCTTGGCACATCGCATACCTCCAGTCCCGTCGCATCGATCCCCATCACCACGAAATCTTGGCCCAGCATGCATCTCACCCAACCCACGGCAGCCAAGCTGTTGCTTCTCTGGGCGTCAGCCAGCGAGCTGTGCTCGGCGGCACCGCACTTTGACAGCCCTCGTGAGCGTCTCCTCCGGGGCATGGACATCCCCGCGAGCTACAAGAAGAAGAGCACCAGCAACCCGTACGTTCCGGGCTTCAGGGATCCCAATGACGGCGCCGTCGACTCGGTCGGCGACGGCCTCGACCCGCTTCCCTACCGCAATGGGCTCGGCGCCTCAGTGCTGGGGCCCTGGAACAGCGAGCGCTCGCGCCAGAACCCGGATATGGTGCGGCCGCCTTCAACGGACAAGGGAAACATGCCCAACATGCGCTGGAGTTTCGCGGATTCGCATATTCGAATTGAGGTGAGTACTTACTGATTCGAAGCCAATTGAGCTGTCAGAGTGGCACTAAAGCCACCACGCAAGCCCAAATCCATCCCAGACTAACAACATTTGCCAAATAACAGGAAGGCGGATGGACCCGACAGACAACTGTACGTGAGCTGTCCACCAGCGTCGAGCTCGCCGGTGTAAACATGCGTCTTGGGGAGGGCGTCATTCGAGAGCTTCACTGGCACAAGGAGGCCGAATGGGCGTACGTCTTGGACGGCGAAGTTCGCGTTACAGCGCTCGACTACGAGGGCGGTAACTTTATCGACGATCTCAAGAAGGGCGGTAAGCATATGCCTCCATAACCTTTTCGATTGCTTGAAGCTGTTATCAACATTGATCTTGCGACGATGGCAATGAAAGCTAATAATCAATACCCAATAGACCTCTGGTACTTCCCGTCAGGCGTCCCTCACTCCCTGCAAGGACTGAGTCCCAATGGCACCGAGTTCCTCCTCATCTTTGACGATGGCCGTTTCTCTGAGGAATCGACCTTTATCCTGTCAGACTGGCTCGCGCACACGCCCAAGTCAGTCATTGCCGAAAACTTCCACCTCGAGCCCGAAGTCTTCAAGCACCTCCCCGAAGGCGAGAAATATATCTTCCAAGGCACGCTCCCGGGCCCCATCGATGAGGAGCGGCCCAAGGGCAAGCACGCCAAGAAGTCCCGCTTCAACTTCACCCATAGGATGCTTGATCAGGAGCCCGAGCAGACGTCCGGCGGCGAGGTCCGCATCACCGACTCCAAGAACTTCCCCATCTCTAAGACTGTAAGGAATTGAAACCTCGACACGCTTCTAAGGATGTTCGAGACTAACAATCATGTCCCTTACAGGTTGCTGCTGCCCACCTCACGATCCAGCCTGGCGCGCTACGCGAGATGCACTGGCATCCCAATGCTGACGAGTGGTCCTTTTTCATCAAGGGTCGGGCCCGTATTACCATCTTCGCGGCTGAGGGCACTGCCCGCACTTTCGATTACGTCCCTGGCGATGTTGGTATTGTGCCTAAAAACATGGGTCACTTTGTTGAGAATATCGGCGATGAGCCTATTGAGATGCTCGAGATTTTCCGGGCTGATGAGTTCCGCGATTTTTCTCTCTTCCAGTGGATGGGTGAGACGCCCAAGAAGCTGGTGATTGATCACCTGTTCAAGGATGACAAGGAGAATGGTGAGAAGTTCTGGAACCAGGTGAAGGAGGCCGAGAAGGATCCCATCACCAAATTCCAGAAGGATACGAGTTCCTCGCAGTCGGAGAGAGTGGAAGAGTTGTAAGATGGATCATGTACGCCGTGTAAAATGTTGTATAGGAGTGTAGAATTGTAACATCGCATTTCAGATCAGGTTTCATTGTCCATTCAATCACAGCACTTCAATTGAAAAAGGTAGTACACTAAACAATAACAGTACACGACGCATCTATACATGCTTTCTGACGTAAAGCAGACCGATCGCGGCGAAGAAGTATGCCTTCTCTACGGCTCCGTAGCTCCCATCACTCATTCAACTCGTGAGCAGACTTGATTGCTTTCGACTTTCCAGTGTCAATGACAACGGCCGGATCCTCAGGATCTCCATCGCGAGACACTTCGTTTCCGCGTTTCGTCGTGATAGACGTCCTAAGTATCGCGTTAGTCCTGTCTTCATTATGACAATGAGACCTCTCGATTGACTTACTTTTCGCCCTTCACGTCAAGGACCTTGCCCTCAGGCTGACCACTGCCCCAGTTCCAGCTGACGGTATCGCCCTTCTTAGGTCCTTTCTTGGCCTTACCACCGCCATTCTCCTTGTCGTCGCCGTCCTCCTCCATCTCTTCGTCACCATCCTCATCCTTCTCCTCAGCCTCTTCTTCCTTCTCATCATCCCCATTCTTCTCATCCGACTTCTCAGTCGACTTGCCCTCGCCCTGGCGCGTCTGTCGCTTCTTGCTAGAACCGTTCTCCTCGCTAGCATTCTTGCGCTTGTCACCGGCCTTCTCTTCACTCTCGTCCTCGGCCTCTTCGTCAGCAGCCTCCTCTTCCTTATCATCTTCGGCCTCTTCTTCGTCCTTCTTGGAACCGTTTTGCTTCTTGGACCCATTCGACTCGGCCTTCTCTTCGTCGCCGTTCTCTTCCTTCTTGGTGGACTTTCCATTCGACTTTGATGCGCCATTCTCTTTGCCCTGGGCCTTGAGGAAGTCGTGCCCCCAGTTCTTCAGTGAAGCATACGACTTGCTCTTCTTCACTTCCTCGGGCGACTTATCACTGTTCCCCTTGGACTCTTGCGCCAAGTGTCGCTTACTATTGTTGCATCACTCGATTAGCTTCTAACTCATCTCATGCTTCGCCCCGTCTCTCGCGAAAGTATACTCACCAGTACGCCACGACCTTGCGCATGTGCTCAATCTGCTCATCCGTGTACTCGTCCTCCTTCTTCTCGGGGTTGGCTTGGAGGATCTCGACAATCTTGCGCCCGCTGTCATGTCCGACCGACTCGCCCTCGCCCTCGGCGTCGTCCTTGGGCCAGCCCGCGCTGTTTGAGTCGTCCGACTTGAGCCAGGACTCGAGGTCCTCGGCCGTCATGTTGACGTACTCATTGAACTCGGAAATAACCTCTTCCTTGGCTTTAACCATTGTTGCGGTGGTAGAGTGAAATAATGGATGATATAGCAGTCGTGGTAGGGTGCAGCTACTGTTCAAAGTTTCGTTATATGACAATGATCAATTTCACGTAGTAGTAACAACAGCAGGCACTCGTGAGCAAGCGTGAGCAAGGTGCCCCTCGCAAGGAGGACCCGAGAGCTATTTGAATCAAAGTCAATTCATTACCTCACTCATCATCATCCCCGTCCTTGACCTCCGCTCTCAGTCCTAAAGCTCAGGTCCAGCCTTTCCTATTTTCTTTTTCCCAGTCCTCTTCCACAATTCATGGGTGCCCACAGATGCGTTCACACAAACACAGGCCGGACGCGGCCACATTCGTCATGATGTCTCGGGCTGAGGGTGGTGTCGTCATAGAAACCCCTTGCATAAGTGGCACAACTTACGCCGTGGGCGCGCCTGGTGGTCGCACTGGTGCAACATGGGGGAAAAGTCAATGAAGTTTATGGGGTCATGGTGTCGAAGCTACAGCTCCAAGCTCCAAAGTTTAAAGGTGAGCTGATAGCTGAGAGCTGGAGCTGGAGCTGAGCTCCGGGGGCTTGCTGTGAGATCTACGGCCATTGACCAATGACTTAGAAGCCTCGATTATGAGCTCTGACTTGTTTGTCTGCTTCAACATCGAGGTCTGAGCATATACGGTCAGTTCTCACATCTCAGTCCCCCCAGTTTATGATCCTGCTTGCGAATGTCACCGGCTGCGACACTGACATTGACAATGACACGAGACATCCGGCATTTGCATGGAATTCTCGTCTGTTTTTGTAGGAATACCACTCTTTTACCTTTGGCCCCAAAGACCGCTCTGGGACACTCGAAGACCCAAAGTCTCACCTCAATTCTTCCGTTCCAGGCCAAGCGCCAGGCACAGATTCTTCGCGATCCCCAGATGCAGCCTTTGGCGCATTCCCCATGTCTCATGCGAACTGGCAACCGGTCTGATCCGTCTTGACAACGTCTGCGAGATTCGAGCCGAGCTGACCGGCGCGCGCGATCCAAGCCTGTTGAGAATTTATCCCGTTAGCAATTACATGCGCCTACATTACTGGTTGCAACGCTTGCGGAAGATATTGTACCATTCCATTGCACTGTATGGGAGAGAAAAGAGAGGAGAGACTTACATCGAGGACCGCGTCCTCCGGGTTCCGCTGGCGACTGAGCACGAACAGAGTCGTAAAGTTGCTAGCCTGCACGAGCGCAAAGTCTGGGGTGTAGTCTGTGCAAAGGGAATCACATTGTCAGCTTATAAGGACCTCGACAAGGTTTCGACCCCAACGTGGAAGAGCAGCTCTGTGCCTGAGTACGCTCTCCCACAATTATAGGGGCGCATTGCGCGTACCTTGAACAATGTAATTTGGGCCGGCGCAATCGGGCCCGGGCTGGCCGGGGAACTGAACGCGAAGGACACCCTTGGCTCCGTACGACGGATCGGCTGGCGCGGCGGTGCCTAGGATGTTGATGGCGCGGCCCCCGGCTTCGCAGGTGTTGTTCACCTTGACCGTGCCGTTATCCTAAACAACGAATAATAGTTAGACCGTCACACATGCCCTCAAAGACAGCTACTCAAGTCGCACAGAATGGGGAAGAGCGTGTGCGCACATTGAGAGAGTACTGCGCAAAGATGCACTTGCACCCGGCAGTGAAGGGTGCAACGGTGCCGGCGACCTGGTACCAACGGCCGAGGTAGGAGTCGAGGTCGAAGGCGGCGTCCGGGGTAGGGTAGAAGCATTTTCCGTCCCAGGTAGACTGGACGACGTTGGGGATGCTCGGGGAGGGCGAGGTCTCGTTTGTGATGGCGACGGCGGACGCGACGGCTGCCCAGGAGAGGATCGTGGAGAGGGTGGACAATCTCATCGTGATGGCTTCGTCGGGGTCAGATGTCTAATAACTAGAGACAAGTCTAATAACTATGGCCGTCGCGAAGAATGTGTGGCACTTGATATTGATTTGCAATGATAGGGTGATGCCATCGCGAGTTCATCCCATTGTGCGGCTGCTTATACCTTTTATCCAATTCATCTTCCATCGTGGGGCCGTCGCAAGACAAGAACAAACAACAGTTTTCTCAGATGGTGATGAGCGCGCCAATGCTTCGCTCGCAGAACTGAGTTGTCCGAGGTCCGAATCCCAAGCTGTTAAACCCGCCGCTTTGCCCTTGCAACTTTGTGAGTATTCGAGCTATTCAGTGGGACATTGAGAGCCCAACAGCTTGCTCCAGCTGAGCAGCACAGAGTGGTGACGACACTGATGCCTCTTTGGGCTATGAATTCGTTCTTCGCCAAGTCGGTTAGCTGCGCGGCCCTGCAACGATGGAGTTCCTGTGGGCTCTCATAACTCTTCCTCGGCACTCCATGTTTGTTCTTGAAGAGCGTAACCAATGTCCCGTCAGTATTCGAATCAGTAGCGGTTGCTGTGCCTCTTTAGTGGGCTTCAACAGCTCTGGGTACGCCGCGCCGATCGTCAGGGCCTTGATGGCGTGGTGCCGTTTTCTCCGCACTATGGCGCCGCCAATCGGCGATTTCAGCTATGGATCTGAATTTGGATGGTTCGATGTTTCTTCTCTAGATGCTGAGCTAGTTATCGATTTGTTTTCTCGATGCACCTTGAGAACCACACGGCTGGGACCGCGTGGAGGAGTTCGACTGTTAGGATGGGGCCTCTGTCGGGCCTAAAAAGACAGGCCCTGTTTACATTAGTATAAGAGTGAGTGGAACAGGTTGAAAGAGCTCCTTGACAAATATCGTTGTTAGGAACGTCACATATGGTAAAGTTGAGTCGCAACTGTTGGCCTGTCCGTACTAAAGTATTGCATTCCCTAATCGTTACCTGGACTGCTGCTTCGTCGCCATGGATATTGTTGTGTCTTTCCCAGACCACTGGAAGTCAGTTGTAATCGTCGACCAAGTATATATAAATGTCAAGTTGAACCAACAAACTCATAATGTACTTCAATTCCTGAACAAGGCTAAACAATGTCTTTGCTCTGCACAATAGTACCAAAAGCATCACCAATCTCACTCAAAGCAACCTTGACGAGCTGCGCTGCATCGACGCCAGGAATATCACGATCGCCGACCGCATCCTCAGCGATCAGAACGTCAAACCCACGCTGGTCAGCTTGTCTAGCGGTAGTAGACACACAAACGTGAGCCTTGAAAACCACACATCAGCATTTAAACTTGTCATCTTGCAAGGGTAGATTCCCGCATGCGAAATGCGCCAGACTCACCATGTACCCGGTCAAAACAACCTTCTTCCCCCTCGCTCCCAACCCCTCCAAATGCGCCTGCAAATCCGTTCCCGCAAAGGAACCAGGAAACTGCTTCCTCACCACCTTTTCACCGTCCTTGGGCTTCAGCTCGTCGAACTCCTCGGCCAGCTTGGTTCCAGGCGTAAAGAGGGGAGCGCCTTCGGGCGTATCGTGGACGACGTGCACGATGCTGCTGGGCTGGCCGGCGTCGCGGTACTTTTGCAGCAGGGCAGCGATAGCCTTGCGTGAGGAGGTGACGTCCCGGACGGCGAGTTTGCCTTCTGCGTACTCGTTTTGGGCGTCGATGATGATGAGGGTGCTGTCCGTGGGTGAGGCCGTCGAGGGCGGGGCGCCGACGATTTGGCGGAAGGATGTTGCTGAGGCCATCGTTGAAGTGAGTCGGTAACGTTTAGTGTGAAGCTGTATTTGCTAGAACCGTTGGATTCTTAGCTTTCGTAAGACTAGGAGAGTTCCTTAGCTTGATGAACGAGGAGAGATCAAGATTCACTTCATGAGATTCTTCAGCTTGTCTTGCTCAGCTTACGATTACATGTGGGAGCCGAAGGCGCTGTTTGTCTCCGCACTTTGTCATTGAGCCCCCCGCAATTTGTCATCGATCGCATTATGCATATTCAAGCTATTGTTGACGCCATCAGCTAAGGCTCTTGACAAGCTAGGTGGGCGAGAGCTCTTCGGAACTGGCTCGGAATGCGATGAGGAACTGGCCGCGATGCGAAATTGGCTTCCTCAAAAATCAAAGTACTCGTACACTGAACAGGAAATGGGCGGTTGTGATTGAACTTGCTCGAATCCCTCCACAATTATCATGGCTCTCAAAGACACATCATCAAAGCGATACTATCATCAGAACTTCGCTAGCATCAATCTATGGTCCTCCTTACTACCGCCCTTTACCTCCACTTGTTGTCCCACCCAGCCTGCTCAATAGCAAAGGCAATGGCCAGCTCAGAGAACCTCGCCATGTGATCAATAGAAAACACACCCGTCTCATCATCGACATCCATGGTATCCTTTTCCGTATGCACGTACGGGTCAAACTCGCCAGGGAATCCACCCGCAACGGGATTGCCCTCGGATGCAAATGTAGCAGGGAACCCGAGCTTGGTGTATGACATGTAATCCGATCCGGCGCCGGGCATGAGCTCGTAGACGCTCGTCGTGATGTTGATGTACTCCTCGCTCAGATCCACCGCCCACTTGGTCAGCGGCGCGTCCGCATCCGTCTTGATGAACCCAATCGACTCGGTAGCGTTACGCGCGATAAAAGCCGTCATGTCGAACTCCATCATGGCGCCAATGTTGGCACCCTCCTTCTTCTTGTAGGCTGCAACGGCCTGGCTACCCAGCAACCCGCCCTCCTCAGCCGCGTACCAGTGGAACTCGACAGGTCCCTCCTTGGGCACATAGCCGCTCGTCGCGAGAACGCGGAAGGCCTCGAGAATGCTTACGGTACCGGAGCAGTCGTCGTCTGCGCCGGGGGCGGGAAGCAGAGGGAAGAGGTAGTTTGCCGAGTCTTGGTGGGCGCCGATGATGGTTAGGGGCTTGGAGAAGTCGCGGACCTTGGGCTCGAAGCGGGCGATGATGGAGGATTGGGGGAACTCGTGGGTGAAGTACTCGAGCGAGATGTGGGCGTGGAAGGGCGACTGGGCAATGATCGAGGCGACGTGGTCGTGCAGCCAGACGGAACTCTCCTCGCCGGTGACGCCGCCGTAGTATCTGTTGTAGTAGCTCGTCATGTGCTTGAGGACGTTGTGCATGTTTGTCTGGTTGACTTTGGGGAAGAGGGGCTTGATGAGGCTTTGATGTGTGATCTTGGGAAGGTCTGCGGTTGCGACGGCGTCAGCTGTCCGTATTGTACGAGGAGCAATCTCGACGAGTATTATGAATTGGACTCACTGGCTTTGCCTGCAAAGGTGTTGACGTGGTCGGCGTAAAGCTCCTGGAAATCAGTGATGTCGCGGAACTTGCGTCCCTTGCGCCGAAGACGAAGCTTATCGCCCTCCGTCATCCATTCAGCCATTTTCTCGCCATGAACGTGGATCAGTCTCGGCTCAGCGAGCGTGTCCGCCATATCGGGCTGAAGAGAAACGAAGGCGTCGACGGGGTCAGCGTATCTCTTGAGCGCCGCGAAAATTACGTCTTTGTTCTCGATCGTGAACATGGGGGCCTTATCCCAGCCTAAGTCCGCGGCAATATCGTTTATCGCCTGTTCCGTAGCGGGAGCGAGTACGCGTTGGTCGTCGGAGGAGCTGAGCACGAGCTGAGAAGAGCCCAGCAGGAGGAGCAGCTTGGCTGAGAGGGAGTAGCGCATGATGGGCAGCTTGACAAATGGGCAATGTCGATGGAGGAACTCGAGGAGAGAGCAATCCTCAATGGTATATGAGAAGAGGAGGAGGAGGGTAAGCTTTAGTTTATCAGAAAGATGAGCAAGTGGTTAGCGAGTAACCGAGCTCGGAAGGTCACCAGCGGCCGCAATGATGCAATTCTACGGCACGGAGATCCGTCAGACGGTCAGAGTCAGAGATAGCAGGGGTCTGTCGCAAAAGTCCCCTACTCAAAGTCCCCGAAGTCCCTTTGGATGGGCGCATTATGCGGTGGTCACAGCTCCAAGTCAAGGTTTCTACAGCAACAAAACGGCAGTCCACCTGAGCAAACACTCATAAGACGAGCTTCAAGAGATTTTTGCAGCCTTGGGTAGGACAATAATACAAGAATGGGGTGAAAAGATAGGTGACGCTTATAGCAACCATCGCAATTATCAATAAAAACCCAACAAAGGTTAAGTTTACCGTGCAACAAATTTGTCTTGCAATGATGATTACTGTGAGTTGCGTTAAGTCACGGAGTACCTATCCAAGTAATACGCGGGCTAACTAGCAGCCCGTCTTACAGTATTGTAAGCTTAAGATTTAAGCATGTCGACATTCGCGTTGCGAGTTGCAAATCTACTGAGCCTCCCATCAGAGGCATATCAAAGTCAATATTGTCCACTCAAACGACATCACAGTCCAAACTGCGTCAACAGAGCTTTGGGAGGCCACGCTTCCCTCAGTCCCGGAGCCAGACGGCTCTCGAATACATGACTTCCAGACCCAACCGTCCTCTCCTCCCCGCCATCCGGCAAAGAAACTACAGCAGACGTATTCAGCGGCACCGTCAGCTCTAATACAAACTCCTCATCAGTTACAATCTCCCATCGACTCCGGACCAAGCCGTGCGGGCTCAGGTACTCGACGCTGGCGTGTCGCAGGTCCCCTCCGGGCCGAGGCCGAACCCGGAACCTCTTCCACCCGGCCTCGAGCGGTGACAGCCCCCCAATACCGGCGTGCATCCAGTCCGCGACGCTACCGAGCGCGTAGTGGTTGAAGCTTGTCATCTCTCCCGGGTTGATTGTCCCGTCTTCCAGCATGCTATCCCATCTCTCCCAGACTGTGGTGGCACCCATACGGATGGGGTATAGCCAGGAGGGACACCCCGTCTCGAGGAGCATACGATATGCGTGCTGGACGTATCCCGTCTCTGACAGAGCGTGAAGGATCACGGGTGTGCCGGCGAAGCCGGTGGATACTCTGAACTTAGAATATTGCACAAGTCGCGCGAGTCTTGCGGCTGCGGCTTCGCGTTGGGCGGTGGTGTCGTGTAAGTCAAAGAGTAGGGCCAGAGCCAGCGCCGTCTGGGAATCCGCGACGATAAAGCCCGCTTTGGTGATGTACTTGTCCTGGAAGAGCTGCTTGAGCCGTTTGTGTTCGCCAGCGAGTTCCTCAGCCTCAGATGGAAGATTGATGATGGTGGCGATCTGAGAGACGATGCCCGTGACATGAACCAGATACGCGTCCGCGACGAGGGTACCGTCCGTTCTAGCTAGACCTGGCTCGGCGGGCGGCGCATTGGGATCGAGCCAGTCACCTAACTGCCAAAGCGAAGAATCCCATAAGCCGTCGTCTCCACGCTTGATGGACTTGAGGTAGTCTCTCATACCCGGATACGTCTCTTCCAAGACGCCCGCGTCGCCAAACCACTTATACAAAGTCCAAGGCACCAGTACAACAACATCATCCCACACTGCCTGCGGCACAGAAGGCCAAGGTCCGTCCTTCATAACATTGGGCACCACAAGCGGAACGATACCGCCGGCGTCCTTTTGATCCAGGAGCACGTCTCGCATCCAGTTGCTCAGCATGCCCGCACAATCGTACAGAAACGAGGCCGTTGGACTAAAGATTTGGATGTCGCCCGTCCAGCCCAGGCGCTCATCGCGCTGCGGACAATCTGTGGGGATAGAGACGAAGTTCCCGCGCATGCTCCAGACGACATTGTGGTGGAGCGTGTTGACGTCGTCGTTGGAGCAGGAGAAGAAGCCTGTCCGCTGCATATCCGTGTGCATGACGACGGCGGACAGTGAGTCTAGTGTCACATCGTCCCAGCCGTCCAGCTCGACGTAGCGGAAGCCGTGGTAGGTGAAGTGAGGGGACCAGTTCTCTAGGACTCGACCGCCGCTGAAGATGATCGTATCGGTCGCCTTTGCTGCTCGGAGAGGGCGGGTTCCGAGTTGGCCGTTTTCGAGGACCTCTGCGTGGCGGATGGTGAGGCGGTGACCGTTTGGCTTTGCGAGCTTTGGGATGACGAGTTTGCCGACGAGATTCTGACCAAAGTCGACGAGCGTTCTGCCGTTGATGTCTTTGAAGACTTTGATGGGTTTGAGGGTCTCCGTCGTACGGACTGGTGGAGAGGATGCTGCTATGAGTGTGGATTTTGGAAATGGTAGCGTCTCGACGGGGGTCCATTCGCTGTGGTCGTCGTGATGCCAGTCGTTTACTTCGAGGCCGAGATCGTACGTCTCACCGTCGTATATGTCGCTTCCGACGATTGGCGAGGACCTGCACTCCCATGAATCGTCGGTCACAAGCTTCAAAGCTGGTCCTGTTCTATCGTCGTCGCGGATCTCGAGCTGAGCCAGTACACCGATGCGGTCGCCGTAGAAGCAGGTTAAGCCCTCGCCCCAAAGAATTCGGCCCGCATACCACCCTTCGCTGACTTCCACTGTGAGAACGTTCCGTTGTCCAGGCTTTAGGAGATGCGCTACATCGAAGACCTGGTATTGAATGCGATGTTGGTAAGCAGTCCATCCGGGGGCGAGCCACTCGTTTCCGATGCGGTGGCCGTTGAGGTACGCTTCGTATAAGCCTAGCGCTGTGATGTAGAGTCTGGTAATACCGCCGCCTTTCACATCGGGGCAGTCAAATACTTTACGGAATCGGACCGGCCGGATTCCCCGCTCATCGGGGTGTGAAGCGGTACGCGGGGGCGTGGTGATGGGCGTAGCTTTCCAGTCATCGAGGGAGAGCAGAGCGGTCTCTACTGTCGCCTCCGAGGACCATCCAGAGTCCAATTGGGCCTTGTCGGAGGTTCCGTGAGACTTCACGACAACTATCGCCCTTTCGCCTGTTGCCAAAGGAGTGTCGGGCCACGGAACGAGTACTGTCGAAGCGCTCTCGATGTGAAATTCCCGGGCCGGCGCAGAGCCACGTGAGATTTTGATATCGTACGATGTCTGCTGCCAATTCTTTGCTATAGGGTCGGACTCGACGCGCCATGAGACGCAAGGGGTAGGAGAAGAAACACCAAGTCCGGTGGGATGGTGCTCGAAGCGCAAAGACGTGATCTTGAGTTGAGCCATCTTCACATTCTGGGCAAAGGGTGCAAATGTATGTACTCGACTTTTAGGGACACACAAGGTTTAAATCAGCCAGGATTGCTCTCCGGGCTTTACACCAACGGCTTCTCCTGTAGGGTCCCGCCAAGGGGGGGTGAACGATGGTAAACATGATCCACGCCCCCCGGGGATCGGCTCATGGCTTCGGCTTCCCTTTTTGACTAAAGAGTTCATCGAACCCCGCGGCCGGTGACATCAGCACCGAAACCCCGAGGTCCTGGCCCCGCCATGCCGGAGAAGTTGCGGCCGAAGACGAAAACACGTCGGCCGATATCAGTAAAGACTCTCTCACTTATAGAAACCCTCTCTCACGTATGACACCGTTGGGTGACAAACTTCAGCTATAAGATATAAGTTCTAGCCAAGGGTACGAAAAACTATTGGTAAACTCTCACCCTGTGAGTTCTAGAGGTTCATATGGCAGTGCCAAGAAATCACATCTGAATGTTGTAGGCCATGAAGCCCGATCAAGTTGGCTCATCGTAAGTATCAAGAACCCATACGATTCTTGACGTCATGTGTGGGTTACACAACCTGGCAATGTTGCGAAAGAAACACCCTTCTTCCCACCGTCTGTCACCGACACTCACCGTCACAGCCTCTCGGTAATCCCATCTCACCGACATGTCGGTCTAGGTCCGTCCCTGGAGACTTGAACACATCAAAGCCAGTAAACGCCCCCTTTCTAAACCCCAAAGGCCAATCATCAGCGGTTAACTTCCCCGCAAGTTCCGCTAACTTGGGTTCCCCGCAGCAATCAATGCGCCATCTCCCCCAGGGTTCGGCGCACTTAGCCATTGGACGCCAGCAACATCCGAAATCCGCTAGTCGGGCAATTTTCGATGGAAGCAGAGCCCAGAGGAGGTCAGAGGTGAAGAGGAGATCCAGTCTTTTTTCTCCTCCCGCATGACCTACCGAAACCTTACGATCCATGAGGTGGACTTTGGCCGATTTCACGATACTTGGTCTGGGCTTCACTTCCATGTATTCAAGACTGATTTTAGCCGGTGAGCAGTTGCATCAGCACCATCAACTACGTTTCTCACAATGCTCTCGCCCATGGCTAAGGATGACGAATCAACCGCGGCACCCTTCGACCGGGTAGAGAACACAGGCTCTCAGTCTCAGTCACAACCTCAGTCTCAGTCTGAGTCTCATTCTCACTCTCAGCCTCATTCTCACTCTCACTCCCGTTCTCATGCCCAATCTCACTCCCAATCCCAAGCATTTTCACACTTCGGATCAGCCGTGACACCAGGTGCCTCGTCAACATGGGGCCTCGGCGAGCCAACACCCTCACACCATCTCTCATCCGAAGCATCAACGTCGCCGGCCGAGTCGTGGAGGCTGGATGAGTTCGTCACCGACCCCGGCTATCTCGCGTACCAAGAGGAACTGAGATGCCTCATCTTCAACACGGCGCAAACGGCAGCTCCCACGCGAGAGGGGACGCCGGAGGCAGCTGATGGCGGCTTTTCTGCTGGGGGCTTCGCGGCGCCGGGTACCATCTTAGGCGACGAGGGAGCCGCGCGACGGCAGGCCGGCCAGATTCTAGGGACAGGTCGGAGGTTGGAGTATTTGAAAAACTACGTCGGAGAAGTCGCGACATGGGTGAGTTTGCATCACATCTAACCTATTTACCACACCGTTGCCGATCCTCATTCTTCACAATAGCTCGACATGTTCGACAGCGACAGGGCTTTCGGCATACAAGTTCCTGTCCTTGCCCGAAGCTCCCCTGCACTCCTCTACGCCGTCCTCGCCCTCTCGGCGCGACAGATGGAGCGAAAAGAGGGGAAACAAACATCGTTTGACAGCCTCGAGCTGTACCAGGAAGCTATCCGCCTACTAACGCCATTGCTGCAATCACGAGACCAAAAAATCATTCCCATCTGCACGATTCTATGCTGTCTCGAGATGATGTCTGCCAGTGCCCAGGACTGGAGGAAACACCTCGAGGGGTGTGCCGCGCTCTTTGAATCATTCTACGTTCACGGTTTCAGCGGCGGACTACTTCAAGCCGTCTTCTGGTGTTACGCACGAATGGGTGTGTTCCAGTCCCTTGACTTCTTGATTCTACAACTGAATATTCTCTCTAACACAGTCAACAGATCTTTGCGGTGCCCTCATTTCTGATGGAACAGAAAGCACCCTTCTCACCCCCTCAAAATGGCTCCCCAATGGCGCCTCACACAACGAAGCAAGCGAGCTCTTCCACCAGTCCGGAACTCCCGACATGCACGCCAACTACGCCGTCTACCTCTGCGCCAAAGTCTGCGAGCTCGTCGCCGACAGGACGCGCTACTTTGAGCTCGGCGACGCCAGCAGCTGCAGTAGTCCTGGCGAGCTTACTGACCGCTGGATCCGCCTTTGGGAAGACCTCCAAGCCTGGACGCGCGACCGCCCGCCAGAGCTGCTGCCAGTTCAGAGCATCCAGAGCAGCCCGTTCCCTCAGATTCTGTTCCTGCACTGGGCGGCCATCTCTTCGAATCAGCTTTATCACACGGCCTGTACGCTCTTGCTCGGGTCCATGCCGCGGCCGCTTAACCTTAAGCTGAGTGGCGTCACGGGCTCTGCCATCTGGCATGCGAAATGCATCTGCGGTATATCGCTCGCGAATCCGCACCAGGGCTGCTTGAATAACGCCATCCAGCCCCTTTGGGTCGCGGGTCGACTTCTCAGTCACAAGTCGGAGCACGCTCTTCTCGTGAAGCTTATCCGCAGCATCGAGGCCGTGACGGGATGGGGTACATGTTGGAGAATCGACGATCTGGAGGCCGCTTGGGGCTACAAAGTCCGCAAAGAACTCAGGATCGCGGACATGGTTAGGTGATTTGATTTTCATTATCATGATAATTACTTCAACTGCTTGTGTGGTAATGGTTACCTTGACTGGAGGGGAACGTGGTGTGCCCGCGTCCACAAAGCATGACTATCTACATCAACCCCCAATCCTCTCGAACTTTCGTCGAGAAGCCGTCGACGTTCCATCCAGTCATGGATTTGATACGATCAAAGCACCCCAAAATCGCCTTTTGCTGAGGCTCGTACGTCATCCGCTGTGCGGCCAGGTATAATGACGCGACCAAGCAAAGATCCCAACTATCTCTCCGGTCATTGTTCAGCGCGATCCCACAGACGCGCTGAGCATGCCAAAGCGGCGACATGGACGAAGACGACGACTTCTTACCCGCCGCCGTCGCCGCCTGTAACGTCCGTGGTTTATTCTGAAGCAGCAGCAACATGGCCGTATGATATAGCTGATTCGCAAAGACCGCGGCCCCGTTGGTGAAGAGGACGACGGGGAACAGCGTCTCGTCGCCGCCATCCATCTCCACCATGGGGCGAAATTCCTGCGCCCGGTTGGTGTACCAGGACCCGAGGGCGTCGCTGAGTATAGTCCAGCGGTGGACGGGCGTGAGCGGGACGCCGCCGCCGAGGTCGAGATCGGCTGGGGTTTGTGGTGGGAAGCTGCCTGAGCAGAAGTTGATTACTTTTGCGCAGAGGAGGAGGGGTTCGATGGTGTATTGAAAAATTGTCTCCGCGATGGTGGAGGAGTTCCACTGTTGTGGGATGGGCTTGTAGGATAGATGTTCGGGGATCGAGATGGGAGCCCCGGTTACGAGTGCGGCTGCAAGTTCTACTTTTTATTAGCCTTTGACTAGCTGTGATGTAACTGATACATCAAGAAAGGGATGTTGGAACGGCGAGTATACCTAGTCGAACCAAGACTGATAATATCGAAACGGTCTTTGGAGTTGCTTCCGCCAGTGCCACATTCCAAAAGTTGTGATCTATGCTACTCGACAGGCTATTCCAGCTGCTGGGGATGTCGGAGATGAATTGGCATGCCTTAGATAGAGTCAAGTGGGCCAGATCGCTGTCGTTGATGACCGGTCCGCTGAGCTGAAAAGCTTTCGTCTCAGCCAGAGACTTGAGGTGTCCGGCGTCGCCGGATACGATGCGCAGATCGGCCTGCTGTGCCGTTGCAGCAACGGCAAGAAGCGAGTGAAGCACCGATTCGGATTCGATGGCGAGGCGAGAAACGTAGAGACCAAAGGTTTGTCCCATATCACACAAGTCAAGCTGCGAAACAATCATGATTAGCAATTCAACGACCAAACCCTCATACACACAAGGCTTGGTGTTGGACTCACCCATGGCGCGAGTTGATATCTAAAGTGACGCAACAGCTGCAGCAGGCGATCTTGCGAAATGCCGCCAGCAGCAGACACGCCAGACCCTCTGCTCTCCTTCGTTGAGTTTGGCGACAGCGACATCATCTCTCCGGGGCTCACCACACCGATACTATCACCACCAACAACCGCAAAGGACCCGGAGCCATGATCAGGCGACTGACCTAGCCCCGCTGGCCCTTCGTTTCCGAGCGACAGCAAGACATTCAAGGCCGTCTCGTAGGCAGCGTCATTATTTGGTGATGGCCCCGTCAGCTTCCCCGTGATATCAAGATTTCGCACCGGTGATGAGAGGCTCTCATGACTCCCGAGGCTCAGACTCTGGGGTGGCCGCCATTGCTCGAGCGGTGGGTGCTGGCGGCTGTGATTCAGCGTCGCGAGGCTCGGCTCGAGAGGTGATGGTTTAGTCGTCGCCGCTGGCGATGGTTCTGGGGGTTGGGTATCTGCGTGGAAGGTTATCACCGTTTGCGTTGGTGTTTGCGAAGGCGGCGGTGGCGGTAGAGATGAGTGGTTGCGGTTCAGATCGTTTGCGACATTCCCGTTGACTCCATGTTGCTCGCGCGGCGGAGACGATGCATGTAATGACGGATCTTTGGCGGCTTGTTTGGACGACCCGGCACCTACGAACTAGATCTATGTGTAAGTCGAAAAGCACTAAGCCGGGTGATGGTTCCTAGTAGTTTACGGACCTGAAGGCGCGAGTATTTTGGCGTTGTCGCATCGGGCACCTTGGGCGAAGGTGACACCGTCAATGCATTCTTATTCAAGAATGTCAGTCTGGGGCCGTAGTGGCACTCAAAGTTTCCGTCGATGCAGCGCTGACATCGCGGCTTTCCTTCATCGCCTACATTTGGTCAATAAAGAGTGTCAACAGTAACTTGATGAAGCGTCACCGAGTAAACATAGCTAAGCTGCAGTGTCATGCGACGTCATGCCAGCTCTACTCGGTGAGATAACATCTCAGTGGGTCTTGAACAACATTTACGAGCATTACAAAAAGAGACATGGAGAAAGTGAGAGAGGCTTACATTTGCGGCGTCGGACCCGACATTTCATACACCCCGTCCGCGTCCTCTTGTGCCTCTGTTTCGAACCTCCTGCTCCTGCTCCTGCTCCTGCTCCAGAGCCGCTTGCTGATACTGCATCCGTATCATCCGTCATTATCGCAACCGGCTGCTATGTTTGGGGTGCTTGTTGTGTGCCCATGGCTGAAGAACGGACAACGGCGGCTGGAGGGGATAATCTTGTCGGATTGGGAAGGCGGAAAAGGTCCCCAACAAATAGTGGAGGGTTTCCCGAGGTACGGGCTCGACTCCAGGAACTCTGGGGCTATGGATGGGGAAGAAAGAGCTTTGCTGGAGTCTCTGGAGAAAGTTGGTGTGTGTGGAACAGGGGAAGGACGGGTTTACAGCGACAAGTCGGGGCTTAGTTGACGCGAGTGCGGTTCGGGATAAGTGTTTGCAGGGACAATGCTGTTTGTGGATATTACCCGTGGGGCTTGATCACTGATGGGATGATTCTCATGCTTTGGCGGGTGAGACGATGTTCAGTAAGTCTGCGGTAAATACGCGACGAGTCTTAAATCTGAGATTTACTCTGGCCGGACATCTTCCGATACGATCCGTGTATACTTCTCTTGAGTCTGTATACTGATAACCACTAGACACTCAGCTCACAATCCCCATTCAACTATGAGGTGGACGGCAGAGAAGCTCATCTCCTTGAAGCGGGCTTCTAACCCCTCGTAGAACCCAGTCGAACACGAGTCAAACCGGGGGACGCTAAGCGCGGGGATACATGCTCTTTTCTGAATCATCAGTGCTTAAGATTGCCATATCCGGTAAGCTCTGCCACCTTGCCTCTCAGTCTCAACCCCTCCATGATGATGCTCAGAAGAACAGCCGGAGGGATGGGTGCTCTACTGACGGAGGCGGGGTTGTGTGCGCTTTTTGACTGAGGGCGGGGTTAAACGCAAGAAAAAAAAAGTAGAATCTTGTCACAGAGCATATTAGAACTCAAAGCTCGTCATTCTAGAGCAACCTCATCTCATACATCACGCAACTTCACTTCCTGTCACTCTAGTATCTATACCCCCTTTTCAAAATCTTCATAATGGGCAAGGACACCATCACTCTCGCTTCCGGCCGTGAGATGCCCCTCGTGGGCTTCGGTCTGTGGAAGGTTCCCCGCGAGACCTGCGCCGATACCGTCTACAACGTGAGTTTCATCCAAGCGCTCAGCTCTACGCACAAGTGAACATGTTTTCTCATCCGTGACTGTAATCAATTAGGCTATCAAGACCGGTTACCGCCTCTTCGATGGCGCCTACGACTATCAGAATGAGAAGGAGGCCGGCGAGGGTGTTCGCCGCGCCATCGCCGACGGTCTGGTGAAGCGTGAGGACATCTTCATCACCACCAAGCTGTGGAACAACTACCACCGCAAGGAGCATGCCGTCGCCATGGCAAAGAAGCAGAACGAGACCTGGGGCCTGGGCTACATTGACCTGTTCCTCATTCACTTCCCTGTTGCCCTCAAGTACATTGAGCCCTCCAAGCTCGAGTACCCCGTAAGTTCATGAATGCCATCATCATTTTCAACCAAAGATTTGCTGACTTGGAGACCCCAAGTGCTGGTGGATGGACGCCGCGCAGACCATCGTCGAGCCCGACAACGTCCCCATCCGCGAGACCTGGGAGTGCATGGAGCAGATCGCAGACGAGGGCATCGCAAAGTCCATCGGCGTCTCCAACTTCCAGGCCCAGTCCCTCTACGACATCCAGTCCTACGCCCGCCATCCCATCTCCGCCCTGCAGATCGAGCACCACCCGTACCTCGTCCAGCCCGACCTCATCTCCATGGCCCAGGAGAACAAGATCGCCGTCACGGCCTACTCCTCCTTTGGCCCCCAGTCCTTCCTCGAGATCTCCAACAAGCGCGCCACCGGCGCTCAGGGCCTCTTTGAGGTCGATGCCATTAAGGCGATCGCGGACAAGTACAAGGTCACTCCCGCGCAGGTCCTGCTGCGCTGGGCTACCCAGCGCGGCGTCGCTGTCATTCCCAAGAGCAACAGCCAGCACCGCCTGAAGCAGAACCTCGAGGTCAACGGCTTTGACCTGACTGCCGAGGAGATCGAGTCCATCTCTGACCTTGACCGTGGTCTCCGCTTCAACGACCCTGGGTTCTACCTGCCCCAGCGCCCTCTGCGCATCTTCGCATAAACGAAGTCTGAGATGAGAGTTGCGGTATTATATGGATCTGGATAAAAGGAACCTTGACGGGATTGGTAGTCATGGAACCTGCTACGAATTAATGAAAACAATTTTGCCCAACTATCACGCCCTCGTTCGTCTTTTCTTGTGCCTGTGTCTGATGAGCGACAAGTATCCATTCCAACAACAAGAGTGAATGCACTTGCTCGTCATCTTCAAGTCTAGGCTCTGATACTGCCGCGATTGCGTCGAATTGGCCATGCTGTCTGTCGCCGAATCCGCATCGATGCCGGCTCGGAACTCGGCGGCTTCGGGGTGACAAACCCAACCGCTTTCCATAGGTAGTCCAGAGCCAATCATCTGGACGAACTACACACAGCCGGCATGTTCCCCGGCGCAACGATCTAGAACTGCCGGGCGGTGCTTAACATATCCAAATCAGGCAATGACTTGACAAGGCGCGACAGAAGAGGCATTCTTAGTCGCTCGGTCGGTTCCCCGCATGTTGCCCAGACCCTTAGCTAGGTTGAGCTGTTGGAAATTCGGACATTGTTACCGGCAGAGGGGTATCACACGACGATGAAAAAAATAATAATTGTTTGACGGGACAGTACTCATAGAGGGTTGTAGACTAAGAGCGCTTCCTCAACGAATCCTGTCAAATTGAGATGTCTAGCCGTTTCCCCTTTCACATCACGTTTCTTCCAGCGACTATCCTTAAACATTGGTTTCTCTCTTCCGTGTTGATCCCAACTACATCGTTTCGACATTGCTAGCAGTTGTCCATATACTTGTAAAAAGCAGTCGTTCCTCTAAGTCACTGTCATCTCCCTTGCATTGTATTCCCGGAGGCCAATCACCTGCAAGATGGTCGCTACCACGATATCGCCAGAGGCGCCTGTCAATGGCATTGCGCCCGCAAAGTCCAATGGCGTTGTCGTTGTAACAGAATTGAAGCAACACGACCACCACCATCACCACGAGCCTACCGCGGTCAGTGCCAACCAAGAAACCATCCGGGCGCCGCTACCGAACCCTTCGCTGGTAGTCACAGCCGATCACCAGCTCAAGGCAGAGGAAGCGCCCGTTCTCGCACCAAAGGCGGGAGAGGCATTGGTCCACGTCAAGGCTACCGGAGTGTGCGGGTAAGTCTTTCTAGTCTCGTTCAAATGCGTCGAACACGCAACCCGCCTCAGTTCGACAGAGCTCAGCCTTACTTTGCGAAAGATCATGAAGGCAAACGCTGACTTTCGGAACGCTCTGCAGGTCTGACATCCACTTCTGGAAGACGGGCCGCATCGGAACGCTTGTGTTCGAGGGAGACTGCATCATCGGCCACGAGGCAGCAGGTGTCGTCATCCGCGTTGGCGAGGGCGTCAAGAACCTCAAGGCGGGAGACCGCGTCGCGATCGAACCAGGCGTGCCCTGTGGCGAATGCTTCCTCTGCGTCGACGGACGGTACAACCTCTGCGAAGATGTCCAGTTCTCTGGCGTTTACCCATACCATGGCACGATCCAGCGATACAAGTGCCACCCGGCCAAGTGGCTTCACAAGTAAGTCGAGCTTGCCCTCTAAGAAAAACTCAATTGGATATATGTAGACATGTACCTAAACCCGGACTCTGTTCAGGCTCCCCGACAACATCTCCTACGCCGAAGGCGCCCTCCTCGAACCCTTGAGCGTTGGCATGCACGGCATCCGCACCGCAGGCCTCTCTCTCGGCGTCGGCGCTGTCGTATGCGGTGCAGGCCCCATCGGCCTTGTCACCCTCGCCGCGGCGCGGGCCTCGGGCGCTCACCCGCTCGTCATCACCGACATTGAGCCCTCCCGCCTCGCCTTCGCCAAGACGCTGGTCCCGAGTGTCATTACGTACAAGATTGACCCCGCGCTTGGCAACGAGGGCAACGGCAAGGCTATTCGCAAGCTGTTTGGCGACGACGAGTACAGCGCGCCCAGAACGGTGCTTGAGTGCACCGGTGTCGAGAGCAGCATCTGCACTGCCGCTTTCACTGTTCGTCGTGGTGGTACGGTTATGGTTATTGGTGTTGGAAGGGAGATTATGAACAACTTGCCATTTATGCACATTTCTCTTGCCGAGGTAGGTCGACATGCATACAGACTTGAACCAGAGCTGGGGACTAACAGGATTTCTCTAGATCAAGCTCGAGTTCATCAACAGATACCGCGACACATGGCCTGCGGGTATCGCCTGCCTGAGCAGCGGCATCCTCGACCTCAAGAGCCTCATTTCTCACACTTTCCCTCTCGAGAAGGCAGTCGACGCCCTTACCCTCGCGTCAGACTACAGAAATGGTAGCATCAAGGTTCAGATTGTAGATGAGACTGACTCGCCCATCTTCTGAGGCGATATGCAGGGAGTTGAGGGTTTAATATTAGGGGGCATGGGCTAGTCTAGCCAGGTAATAAGAATTGCATGAATTAGCATACTCAGCGTATATGGCGTTATGATTTATCAGTTATATATATACAAGCAATTTTCTTACGGATCCATTCGTCACAATTCAGCTTTGATCCACGTTCCATGGTCATGTTCTTCATTGATACGGCTGGAGACCTCGGGGTTTGGGCTCAGATGAGCAGAGCTTCTTGCAACTTCATGCTACCCTGCTACGCTTTCTATTGAACTACCTTAGACTGTGGATCACTACTGGGAGTAACTTGTTGTTCCTCACCTACTCATACTATGTGTTGGCCTCACTGACCAGGCCTGTCCTCGCGGATGACATGGACGTCCGACCCATTGTATACTGCAACCGCCAGAACCTCCCGGTGACGATAGTCAGCCCACCCTTCGGTCCATACCATGGCATGCATTGGGGGGTGTGGGTCTTCAAATTGGTCAATGATCTGGCACTTCCAGGGCCTATCTGACTGTTCCAAGTGAATTTCTTGCGACATCATAGTGTGGATAATCGCCGCGTCAAGCTGTCTGAGCACTGGGAGGAAGTGAGGAGAAGCCTCAGGGGTCGGAGACTCCATCCACAGATCTTCAAAGTGCTCTAGATATCTCTGTTCTGCCCGTCTTCTTCGACTGTCCGGAAACCGTGAGACTGGAGGCGGGTACCAGTAAAGGATGAACTCGCACATCTTGGTGCCGTAGCGGATCTTATAGACCATGTCCATTCTCTTCCTTTCCGGGTTTGACGGCCAGTGTTTGTTAAGTGCCATATATGGTGCTGCACTATCCGGCCATGTTGATAAGCCAAATGTTACCGATTCTATGATTGGGACCTGCCGATACTCATCTTGGGTAGGAGAGGTCTGCACTTCTTCATAAGCAGGAGGGGGTGGATCGTCAGGCTGGCGGTGTTGAGGAGGACGGCGAGGAGTGCCATCATTCTCGTGGCCTAAGCCAGGGTAATTGGGTGGTCGTGCGCTCATTGTTCTTGTTGGGTTAGAAATGTTTGATGCCCTTTCTTAGGGCTGCATGAGTGTGGTCATGAATTAAGTCTTTATACTTGGTTTAAGGTAGTTCATACCTCAGCAACTCGGTGTTGGTGAATCAAGGCAATACTGGGTCATTCAGTGGCAGTGGACAATTTCACTTCCTAGGAACTTAGCCTAGTTTCCATTCACGACATGCATATATCTCAGATAATCAGGTTTGTTTCAGGGTCTGATTAGATGAAAGCTTCTTTCCATGTTGCTTTGCAAGATTCAAGCTACTTCAGGTAAGTTGGCATCGAGTGTAGCTGAATTAGACTCGCAATATAGATGATATACGGGCCATTTGACAGAGATTAGAAGGATTTCATGAGACCGTACATGATTCTCCCAGTTGCTGGGCAAGTACAATCCAATTTCCAACGGAAGTGGCATTAGATATCAGCCTTGTCGCCAGATCAATTCGGATGATATCATTTCCGGTAAACGCAACTGGAGTTCCAGCCGGTACCGTTCTTGAAGCAATGTTAACCATCTGTTTTCTCCTTGGCTCATAAGCGTCAGACTCACGAGTTATAACCAGTTGTAACGGCGGTGTACTGCCAGTTGTACGCAATCTGGTCGCATGCATGTAGCATAAAGTTAGGCGTCTGCGTCACGTTGGCTGTCGTCGCGTTGCCAGGTGCTGTCAGGGCGGCCCAGAGTCCATCGATGCCGATAGTTGGAGCCCCAAATGCGTCGTCGTAGCTCGTGAGATTTTGAGAAACGATGGTCGCTAGCTCCGCCTTGCTAGAAACGCCAGGGGTTGAGAAGACGCTGAGCCATCGTCTTGTGATATCCCATGCTTCGTCTTCGCAGAGACACAATGCTATCTCTTTTCTAGGAGATAGAAATGACCCAGTGGTCACCGCTGCAAGAGCAGTGAGTAAAGTTGATACTAAAGCAAGAAGACGCATGATGATCAGGATAGGTACCAGAATTACAGACACTAGTGGTGTAATTGATTTTCTCTCAAGGAGGCCCGTCCTCTTAAATTTCCAACATCTTCCTTTCCACGTGGCATAGATTGTAAGCTCATTCCTAGAGCGGAAACGAAACCATCAAAACAATACCGCGGGAATGCGCAAATTCAGTAGCTTTCGGCTGGTCCCGCGAGAATATCAGTCGATACTGATTGAGAGGAATGTGGCGGTTGAACTTGCCTGCATCCGGAGGTCCTCGAGGCGCCACAACAGTAGACACCGGGCAAAATGAACTTGACTGGCAGCCATTTTGCGTTTCCGGTTATTTAATACATATCTTGAGCTAATCAGATAGGTAGCAATCATGCCATCTGTTTGGTTCAAGTACGAGTGAGACATCTTTTGGCGTCTCGTATGATTCTGGGAGTTTCTATTTTATTTTCAGCCGCACGACAAGACATAACAGCGAATCATCATGTGGAGATTAATACTCTAGAGACTGAAGACAACGGTGCTATTTTCTACGGACTATGATCACGTCTAAGCCTGCATACAGAAGTACCTTTGAGATCTGGATTGCTCAATGTCAAATTACTTTTGTATATTCGAGACTCGTATGAGCATCAGCGAGACGGTCCTTGGAGTTGATCGTCGATACTGATATGGGAAAGATCCGGCTGTAGAACGCTTATGTATCGTAAAACATCGGCACATCATGGATGACACACCTATTACCCATAGGCTTGTCTACTTTACGGACCCGTTTATCAGAAAGAGATTTTGGTTTTTTCTCTTCTACTAAAGTATGGCAAGTTGGAGAATGCAGAAATTCTCTATCTCGCTCGCGGGAAGGTAATTGGGGATCCATCAGCCAACGCGACTACAGGCCCTTGGGTTCTATCAGTCACGACTGTGCAAGATCTCAATTGTGCGGGGATAGACTTTTCAGTTAGACATCGATGGATAAAGCCCATGTATCCCGGGTCGCCTAACCAAAGCCTCAGTTCGATGCCCTTGAGACGCTGATCAAGCCAAGCAAAGATCAACAAAAGCCTGTTCGCTTCGCATTCTGATCTGCCCTGAGTCCTGTGCATCTGGGCATCGCAAATGCAAAAGCCATTCAGCGGTCAAGTTCGAAGTCTCTGGACCGATCCCCACGAATCCGTGGGAAGGGAACAGAGGGAAAGATCAGCGGCCTTGGCCTGCATCCCAACCTTGCAAGTTGTACGGAAAATGGAGACTATCGATCCCCAACTGCAGGTTTGAATTTCGGCAGCTGCACACCGGAGCGGACTACGCATGCTGTTGTCTCTTTGGCTGGATGCTTGTGAGGCCCAATAGGCTTCCGGACGTTTGGTCGTGTTAGTACTGGCAGGTTTCAGCAGTCCACGCAACATTGAAACCGCGAGATGCGGGCGCCCGAAGCATCACGGCCAACCTGTCAAGTTTCCGCACGGAATAGTTCGTCTGAACAAGGTTAAAATTACCCTGGTCTCCGTCGACCCCGTCGTAGTATCCCTTCTTTCTCCAAAGCCCAATGGCACCGAGCGTCTGCCCACGTCGGCGCCCGCCCACCTGGGCAGCAGAAAATAGGTGGCCAGTCCGAAGAACATTCGGCAGGCAGGGGAGTTCCATTTCCCATAATCCCAGGATCTAGGTTCTCTGCACCGCTAGTCGTGTCAGACCACAGCGGGGCCGGCTCTTCTAGTGTCGGGGTCCTGGGCCCGTCGCGGGCTGTCATTGCCTGTCAAAATTGGCTAATTCCTTGGGCCGACACTTGACAAGGACCCTCTGCCCATGTCCATGTCAATCACTGCCAGAAGGAGTCTCACTTGCGGAATCTCCATCGCCTCATTTTCTCTGAGTTGGGCGGGATGGGGCCGAAAGCGCGTCTTTCTTGACGAGAAGAAAATCGCTCCATTGTGGGAAGGTGACTAGCCAGAGACTACGATTCAGGTGAAGACCTCTTTCTAAGAACTCCTCAAATCTCAGCCAGTGTGTGACAGTCTGGTTCTATCACGTCTTCTCTAGTGTTATTGAAACCTTCGTTGGAAACCCTTCTGCCGGGACTATGTAGCTCCTAGCCCTGCCTGCGGTCTAAGTGCTACCCAAATACACTCTGTCAGTTTTCATAAAATCGCTGACTGCACATAAGGGGATCGCAAAGGATGGAGACAACGCGTAGACCCTGTACCAATCCCTCCACTAAGCGTTCGAAGGCACCGACGCCAAGCCCGCATCATGTAGTTAAGTTTCGACCTAATAAGAAAAGCCAGGATGGGCAAGGGCACAACCACTGAGAAATCGAGAATTAGAGTTGTAGTCGGGAGGGAATGGAGTCGGACTCCGTACCTCTTTGGCAAGGGAGAACGAACTCATATCATGCACTCACGCACTATGATTCAGTCAGGTTTTTGCGGAGTAGACCGCCGAGAGATTCAGGTCCACTGATAGGCAAGATCACACGATCATCGATGGCGTCTTGAATCTCAGCAGATCAACAGTAAAACAAAGTGAGATTATAGAAGGGTATCCAAGGTATTCAGTATAAACGTGCAAAAAATGGCAGCGAACTGCAGCCGTGCATGGTGCAGACTAGTAAATGGTTCCTTGCTCGCACCCGGCAGATCCAAAAAGTGGTATTATTGAAACCCTGGCGGGATGTCCCGCGATCCACAACGCCCAAGAATATCGATTAAAGTTTCAAGCATCGTCTTCAGAAAGCTGTCCCCTTCGTTGGTTTGTCGATCGTTTTGTACTCGCTTGAGTGTCGAGATTCCAAATCGTTTACGCTGGTGTTGGATTCGTACTGGACGTTGACGTTTGTGGTTCTGACGATTCCGTTGTATGTCATGATTTCCTCTTCAGAACCCGATGGAGAGACACTGCGTATTTCCGTGCAGTGCGCTCTTGAGCGCATCTCTTTGAGGGTAATATCGTTGCTCTCTTGCACCCCAGTTGGATTTCGCAATGAGCCGGTCGCGTATTTCCCGTAGTATCCTTTACCGGTCGTCTTCTTCGTCGTGCCGCCGAACAGCTTCGGCATCCATCGGCGGAACAGAGGGCGCAATGCAGGAATACAGGCACAGAAAATGGCCAGATTAACCTCAACGGTAGAGCTCACAAGGCCAATGTTGTGGAAGTGATCGGTTCCTGGAGGTGATGGGACGAAGAATAGCTTGTAGATCTGGATGACTCGGATGACAGCAACAACCGTTACTCTATTAATCCGAACACAATCAGCTTTGACCAAGGGTTATTGTCACTTGAAATTATCACTTACACAAGACCCATAAGGAAAACCCCAATGACTGCCATTTTGGCCGCCAAGGGCATTTTGAGCCCGAGAAATATCCAAAAGGGCAAGGCGAGTACCAGAAGGTCCGAGACGATCGTGATACAAGATGCAATGACGTGAAACGAGTTGTCGACGCATTTTGTGCCTGGCTGGCCTCGCAGAGAAAAGTCCCAGTTGGCTTCCATAGGTAGGCATTGGAATAAGGCGGTAAAGAATACGGCGACTGCGTGGCATGCGTTGAAAATGTTGAGTCCGATGATAGCGGTTCGAACGCCTCGCTTTTGGCCTCCTAGTCGAAGTAGAAATACCAATACCGATGCTTTGACCAAAGCAAGCACTGGATTGTAGGCCATCTGTACCAAGAAGTTCCACCACAGCCCGGCCTTGTTATCGAAATCCTTAGGGACATTTACAGCTCTCCATCCGAAATAATTGAGTTTGACAACTGAGTTCCGGCAGTGTCAGCTTGCTGGCTGGGTCGTCATTTCTTAAACATAGTTCTACTTACACATGAACAGAGGAGGTGTCATTAAGACTGCAAAGAGCTGTTTAACCATTAGCTACATCTTCACCCAAAATCACCCCCGTATGTTATATGGAGAAATATAGAGTGAAGCTCGTACCAAGGCTAAGCCACATAGCCAGTCATCTAATAAATAGTCTATTGTAAGCTTCAAGCAACAACGAAGTTATGCTGACATCGTACCTAGTCCCCATTGACGCGTGCTTATCCGACCGTATGCCCGCAGGCCAAAGGTGCAAATCGATAGAGCTGGAAAGAAGAAAATGATGATGATTGCAGTCTCCTGGAGTGGAGGTGTGGGTATCGTCAAAACATCGGGATGCGGCGGCGCGCCTCGAGGTAGTAGATGAAATGGCATCTCGGCCGGCCAGATCTTTGACGGGATCCGCTTCGGAAAGGTCGATTAGTTGCAAGAACGCGCAAAAGACTCGGACTAAAGGTTTGCGGCAGGCAGTCGGGACGGAGCGACTGGGACTAAGATCACCAGTGGAAGAGGAAATCCGGAGAAGAGGCAACAGATCCCATCGCAGCCTTATGGGAATCGGGAAATCTTTTAATGTTCTATACTCCGTACCGAAATCTTTTTGCTGCCCAAGACTTTCTCGTTTCGTGCGGATTAATAGCACCAAGGCGAAATACGACCTTTCTCTATATTAGCCAACCAGCACCAAATGGCAGATCTCGACACACGGATCCGACAGCCTGCCGCCTAGAGGAGCTGAGCAAGTCAAAGTTTTCGGCTGACCCGCGGAAGGATCCCCTCTTCGGTCTCTCCCTTCATCATCTCTGATCAAGAGGGATCGCCCTTCCATTCCCCATATTCGCTTGTTATGCAGAGCGCCTCACTTCCCCGGGCCAATGAAGTATGCCAGCACATTCCAAGACACGCATTGTCTGGAGGGATCCGAAATCTGCAGTGGGCAGGGTTCAGAAAGTTACTCAGAGTGGTTTGAGATGAACAGAGGGCAGACAAAAGGGCCAAGTTCGACCAACCAGTTCCCAACCTGAACCAACAGAGTTTACAGGCAACAGAGAGTCAGTGACTAGAAATGCGTACGTCTACGGTTGGGGTGTGTATCTTTGCAAAGAACAGGAAAATGGATCCTAGCTGCGCCGAGCTTGACTAGCAGCCGTGGCGTTCCGTTGAAGAAGGCAGACGGGCGGCGCAGAAATCCTCCGAGTTCCCACCCGTTCGACTGCCTTGAGCGGCGCAGATTTTCCAAACGGCCGGTGGGCAGTATGGTTGCTCGGTGTGATCATTGTCGGGGTCCGGGAGACCAATTTGGGCTGCTCATAGATCAAAGAAGTGTTCGAGTCGTTGTCAAAGGCGCACGGTTGTTGACGATATTACTCTGATCGGGTCTATCCCGAGAGTCTTGGTATCGATGAGGGGCCCTCAGTGCGTGATTTTGACTTCACAAGTGCATTCTAGAACGATAAGAAGCTCCAGAGCACTCGCTTCCAGGTTCAAAAAAACCTCCCTGCGTTGCCGACTTCTCTTTGACGTGGGTGTCAAAATAGGCGGCTTGGCAAAGTGGCAAGGGAATAAGCTAGTGCCCCTGAGATGATGCAGGACCGGCGGGACATTGTGCCCCGAGGAGGGGCCAGTAGGCAGCCAATGCCATTGAAGAATCTTTGGATTCCACTCCAACATTGAACTTTTCGGCTGCTACGTTGCAGTTGCGAGAGGAGCTCTGATAGGCTTGACGAGTTTGCAACTTTTGGAGTTGGAGTTGTGTGTAGTAAGGTAGTTTCATCTCATATCTAAACGAACCACAGACGTTGAAAAAAGGATGGCCTCCGCAAAATAAAGCCCAACATCTACAGCGCGGCTCCAGGTAAGGCTATTGAACCAACCCGCAGCAAACTGCCGCGAGTGCCGTGAATATGCCGCTGTGTGTCGACGGAAACGGCGGTTTACTGCGTACTAGGAAGACGTTGGGTGTGACTTGGGGGCTAGACAGTAATTAATTTCGCCCAAACCCTGGCCTGCCAAGTCTTCGTATACAGGCATCCCTGCTAGGCCATTGCGAAGCCCCAAGGAAGCAGAAATCCCATTCTCCATCGGCTCGGCTGGGAGTGAGAAGCCACCCCTCGAGGATGATCATCCTGCTTTTTGGTCCTTCCAGGTGCCGCTTCTTTGATAGCAGCTCCTGGCGATGGGGTCTTCATTTTGCCTATACGGACATAAGATGCGCATCGGGTAGCCAAGGCCATGTTCCTCGTGGCGATAGCGTGGATCCCGGCAACCTGGGAGGCATCATGCGGCTGATAACCAATAGCTTGCAAATGCTGCATGTAGCCACGTGTGGGGGGAGACTCGGGGGAGAGAACTGACAGGACATGGAATGGCCCGAGGCCGTTGATGATCGTGGACGTATATATCTCCAGATGAGGAGCACGTCCATCGTGAACTCTTTTTCTTGTCCTTCTCCTCATCCCACTTGCATCCAACTTGCAAGGATCCTTAATCCTCTTCGACAAGCAGATTTCCCTTCTTGTCAAGATGCCTTCTCTCGGAAGAGCTCTGCTGCTCGCCGCGGCCATGCCGCTGGCCAACTTCGTCGGAGCCCAGAGGCTCGTCGTCGATGGTGAGACCATTGGTAAGCTGCCTCCTCCCCCAGAGTCACCCTCTGCCGATCTCATCAACATCCATACTGACCACGTTTCCCAGATGCCAACGAGGCCACTGTTGCCCCCGCCGCCGAGGAGTTCCCCGAGGCAGACATCCCCGAGGAGACCATCCAGTTGACTGATGCCGTGCTGGCCAACCTCACCCAGCTCGAGCTCAGCAACATTTCGCTCTTTACCTTCGCTGACGCGACAAATATCGAGAAGCGCACTGAGCCCAACAACAAGTGCAAGCTCTTCCCCGGCGACTTCTTCTACCCTTCCGAGCCCGTGTGGAAGGTCTTCAACCTCTTGACTGGCAACTCCCTCATCAAGACGGTTCCCCTCGGAGCTGCTTGCTACGCTGGTGAGCACTACGATGCCGAGAAGTGCCAGTACCTCCTCGACAACTGGACCAACTCCGACACTCAGTAAGTTACCTTGCCTTGACTGATACCAGCACCTCAGACTAACATCCCAAAGCGATGAGGATCCTACTTCAGTCATGTCCCCTCTCTACCAGGGCTCTACTTGCCAGCCCCAGAACGCCGCCAACAACCGTACTTGCGAGATTGGTGGCTTCCCCCTCTACTCCGTCAAGGCTACCAACGTGGCCCAGATCCAGCTTGCCGTCAACTTTGCTCGCACCCTTAACCTGCGTCTCGTTGTCCGCAACACTGGTCACGATTTCTTGGGCAAGAACACCGGTGCCGGTTCTCTGTCCATCTGGACCCACAACCTTAAGGGTCTCAAGTTCATCAAGAACTACAAGTCTGCTGGTGGCTACGAGGGTCCTGCCTTCAAGCTCGGTGCCGGTGTCCAGGTCTCTGAGCTGTACGAGGCTGCCAACAAGGAGGGCTACACCGCCGTTGGCGGCGAGTGCCGCAGTGTCGGTGTCACCGGTGGCTACATTGCCGGTGGTGGTCACTCCCCCATGAGCCCCGTCGCCGGTCTTGGTTCCGACCAGGTCCTCAGCGTCGACATTGTCACCCCCGACGGTCGCCACATCACTGCTGATGACAAGACCAACAGCGAGCTCTTCTGGGCTGTTCGCGGTGGCGGTGGTGCCACCTGGGGTGTCGTCACCTCCATGACCGTCCGGGTCTACCCCAAGACCCAGTTTGCCGGTCTTACCTGGAGCCTCAACACTGCCGAGAAGAACATCTCTTCCACCGTCTTCTGGGCCGCCATGGAGGCTTACTGGCGCCGCTTCCCCGACTTCTCTGCCAAGAAGACCTACGGATACTCGACTCTCTTCCCCGCCGGTAACGGTGCCTACCTCTGGAGCATGCGCCCCTGGTTGGTCCCCGGCATGAACCTGGCCGACTTCAAGGCCATGGTCGAGCCTCTCTTCACCGAGTGGGCTGCCCTCGGCTTCAGCGTCGAGCCCGAGTACTTTGAGCACGACAACTTTTACGCCACCTGGAAGAACCACTTCCCCATGGAGAGCGTCGGTACCGACACCGTCCGTACCGCTAACCGTCTCATTCCCAAGGCCAACTGGGAGGACCCCGCCCTCCTTAACGAGACTATCGCTACCCTCAAGGGAATTATCACCGAGGGCTCCGCGCTGATCCAGTACAACATCAACGCCGCTGCTCCCTCCGACGTCACCGCCAGCTCTGCCAACCCGGCCTGGCGTGAGGCTCTCATGTTCGCCATCATTGGTGGTGGCTGGAGCGCTACCGCTACCCAGGAGGAGATCAAGACCGCCAACGTCCGCATCACCCAGGACTGGATGGGCCGTCTTCGCAAGATCACCCCCGGCGGTGGTGGCTACGGCAACGAGGGCGACGTCATGGAGCCCGACTTCGGCCAGGCCTTCTTCGGCTCCAACTACGCCAAGCTGTACGCTCTCAAGAAGAAGATTGACCCCTGGGGTGTTTTCTACGCCCCCACCGCCGTCGGCAGTGAGGACTGGTACATTGCCCGCCAGGAGGATTGGCTCACCAAGCAGACCGATCGCCTGTGCAAGAAGTAAATACAGCTTAATCTTAGTTGATGATGACGGACGTAGCAAGCACGGAGTTAAGGGGCCGGCTTTAGTGTATATACCTAAGTAGACTCATGTATAATCGCCTTCTCTTCACATGTCTATATCGCTCGCACGTCTATATTGGATAAGGGCATGTGTCCTGGCATGGACTGCTCATAGAAACGTTTGTTATCTGACCTGTATTCATTGGCATCTGAAGTCAGTACCTGTGAAAAGAGTTTCAAAGCCGATGCTAGTTGGTGTGACGTCTTGAATTATCCAGTGATGACCATTGCCCTCAAGCGTTGACGCTGGGCCAAAGATTCATGTCATGGCTTCGGGTGGGGTGAAATGACAGTCGTCGAAGGCCTGAGAGGTGCCATGAACCTCCCTCGCTGTGAATCCTTGACCATAAGAAGTCCTCGTTTGGTCAGACACCCGATTCAGACTATCAGAGCGCTATGAATATCCGGTGCCATTGCACGGCTTCATCGGTTCGTGTCCGGATCCGTTCCGGACCTCAAACTCCAATGATCTTCGTCTCCTCCGACATCCGCAGCCCCGTAAACAAGGCTTAGTCGGTCTCGACTGTACATATCTAAGTATTAATAGGATAATTGATGTGCTCAATGGAGCTGAACGGACCTTAACCTGGCCTCTTGGCTACCTGTATGCAACAGGCGAGAGCGGCACGGTGAAAAGGCGATCAAAAGAGGAAGCTCGGAAAGATTTAGTAAGAGGCCAAATTTAGACTTCAATTGAGTTTCCGCGGT